GCGAATTTTGCATTTGCGAGGCAGAGCGTTTAGCGAAGCCGAGCGAAAGCAAAATTTGCGAGTCGAACAAAGTCACTTTTGATCCGAATGAAACATGCTATATTTTCTGCAACCGAAACAATTAACTCAAATGAACATGTGAAGTAACCACCAATGCCGTGCCATATGTATGCAATGCAACAAATATTGACAAATAATCCATGTAGTGAGAATATTCTACCTGCATTAACAGCAGGTTAGGTTTTCTAGGATGTTTGAATTGTAGTTTCAATATAAATTCAACCACATATTTGTGTATGGACCAGGTGCTCTAATGGCAAATACCGCGCCAGTGCCAGGTATAGGAACAAGACGTGGAAAATGTTAGGTTAGTGAACATATCAACAATGATAATAGTGATTATTTATTCCTCTCCATACTACACTGTGTTTGACTTGATAATCAAATGAAGCTAAACAACATCGTTGTTTGAGACAAAAAACCGATTGCTTGCCGTGATGATTCAAAAACAAGTTATCCATCCCGAGAATAACGAATGAAATACAGATCAAGCAAGTATTTGAATCTTGAAGGCTTCCCTGATCAAAACAAAAATTCTTGACTGAGATGTTTATAATTCCAATACCAAACTATTATAATAAGGTGTATTTATATCTCCAGCATGGGTATGAAATGCCAAATCTGCTGAAATCGGAAACAAATCAGGTATGCGTCTCAACCCAAATAACCAACTGTCACAATGTTGTTCATTCTCGATGACGTCCAGTACATCCTTCTTAGTTCCTAGGAGCTAAAGTTGAACTTTAACTCCAAGGAACTAAAATTCAACTTTAGCTCCTAGGAACTAAATATGTTGCCTAGCAACATACCTATTTTTGTGTCAGTAATAGAAATGTCAATTTAAGAGCTAATTTTGGTATCAAAATGGATGACTTTTGTGTCGGTTGCAGAAAAAGTATCTTATCTGTGGAAATGTCGCGATTCGAAGAGTAGTCGAGTGGAGAAATTGAAACATCCATCAACAATAATGTGATTTACGCATTCATTAATATGTCCAACCGAATCACACTCGACCATTTATTTGGGGTCAAAGTGAATTCAACATGTATAATTTGAATTTTGTTGCCTCTAGGAAATTCAACTCAAAAACCTACCAGAAAAAATTATTCGTCATACGTACTCGAAAATTTTCCGAAGACAATTTTCTTCTTTCAATTTCCAGGCAACAAATTCCTCGTTGAATTTCTCGACAGAAAAAAGCTTATAAGTGACAAAACGGTACCTAACATTCTAAACCATGACAACCAGAATTGGGAATGAATCTTGATGGCATTCATGTAAATTTTTCTCAAACTTGCGTTGGCAAAAATGTACCTAATCTGTGGAATGTCTCGATTTGGCGAGTCTGGGAGTGGATAAATTGAATAAACCATCAACAATAGTGTAATTTGTACGTATTCATTAATTACTGTGTTTTTTCTAGGGTTTTTTCCTCTGGTCGGAGTAAATTTGGAATCAATAATTCGTGTTTTGTTGCCTCAAGGCAATTCAACTGATAGAAAAAATTACTCGTCCGATGGGTAACACGTCATTACATCACGGTCATTATATCCGTGACGCTATATCCGCGACATCATATCCTCGCGACAATATATCCGTGGCGTTATATCCGCGACATTGAATCCGTACATGCTTTCATAGTAGCCGTTCGTTTCAATTTAAGTTGTGAATTGTTTCTTATTGTCTGTCGTACCGAGCATATCGTTATTTTTATTTTGTCATTTTTGATAACAATGCCTTTGAAATTCGTACAGTCGCAGTATGGTAATCCAATGTTGATTCATGATGGATATGTTTATACTAAAAAAAGTGAAAATGCTTCTGGCACCATCACGTGGCGGTGTAAACAGTATTCCAAGCATTCCTGTCGTGTTGTGGTTCATACATCTTCTAATAAGGAAACAGGTATATACCTAATTATTTTGAGAAGTGCCTATACAGGGTGTTTCATTGGGAAAGGTAAATAATTCGACTGTGGATAGGGGTCACTGGGGTGATTTGAAAAAACCCATGGTTAATGGGTCTTCGACTTCTTATAACCGAGATACGAGGATGTTTCATCAATTTCGTCCATATCTTCATTGTCTCATAACTTTCCAACCAACCTGTATATATTTTTGAAAATTGGTACACTTGCTCAATCTACCCTGTGGAATAGATTGAGGCAACAACAAAAAATAAAATCCAGGTCCGGCTTCACTTAAAATTCACAAATTCTTTCTGCCAGAAAACAACACCCTATACATTCGAATTTCTCATTCTTTCTGCCATATCTGAAAAGAACATCAAAATTTCTATTCAACGATGTGCTTTTTATTCGTGCACAGACGATTTTAACTATTCATATTATGTGCTCAAAATATTATTTTTGCTCATTTTGGGGTAGAAAATTGGAATCAGACGAGATTTGTTAATTTCATTACTTCCTATTGAGAATTCGTGAGTATTACATTTAGAAGGAGTATTTCATATCGTTCTTTGTTCCAGACTTAGTTGCAGGTCCGTCATCAAAACTATACAGGGCTTTTCACGATGAGCGTTAATTTGACGTTTTCGGCGAAGCAGGCAACGGATATATCTGGAATTTCGATGGTATGTATAAATTAACATAATCTACACTACTGAAATATTTGAAACGATCCGGCCTTGCCGCTTCTACTAGAAGGTAGCAGCAACTTCGATTTTTCAAATGGGACACCCTGTATTTCATTACATTCTTGGATTCTTGCTGAACAGCAGAATTCATCGATTCAAAACATTCAAGGTCTAGCGGGACTGATAACTGAGATGAATAGGATGTGGAAAATCGAGATGTTTCAACTTTAGACATTTTTTGTGTTGAAACTATTCATTATTGCTTGGTCAAAACGGCTGTCAATAGATACAAAGTTGAGATAGGGACATAAAAGCCGTTTTGATCAATAATAAATATTTTCGCAAAATAATCCTAAAGTTGAGACATCTCGATTTTTCTCACTCTGAATATCTCAGTTATCAGTCCCACTAGACCCCGAACTTTGTGAATCGATTAAATTAGCTCTTCAGGAAGCATCCAGGGTGTCCCATTCGAAAAATCAAAGTTACTGCTACTTTCGAGTAGAAGCGGCAACGCCGGATTGTTTCAAATATTTCAGACGTGTAGATCATGTTAATTTATACATACCTTCGAATTTTTAGATTTATCCGTTGCCTGGTGTGCCAGAAACATCTAATTAACGCTTATCGTGAAAAGCCCTGTATAGTTTTGATGACGGACCTGCAACTAAGTCTGGAACAAAGAACGATATGAAATACTCCTTCTAAATGTAATACTCACGAATACTCAATAGGAAGTAATGAAATTAACAAATCTCGTCTGATTCCTATTTTCTACCCCAAAATGAGCAAAAATAATATTTTGAGTACATAATATGAATAGTCAAAATCGTCTGTGCACGAACAAAAAGCATATCGTTGAATAGAAATTTTGATGTTCTTTTCAGATATGACAAAAAAAATGAGAAATTCGAATGTTTAGGGTGTTGTTTTCTGGCAGAAAGAATTTGTGAACTTTAAGTGAAGCCGGACCTGGATTTTATCTTTTGTTGTTGCCTCAATCAATTCCACAGGGTAGATTGAGCAAGTATACCAATTTTTAATAATATATACAGGTTGGTTGGAAAGTTATAAGACAATGAAAATATGGACAAAATTGATGAAACATCCTGTATCTCGGTTATAAGAAGTCGAAGACCCATCAACCATGGGTTTTTTGAAATCACCTCAGTGACCCCTATCCACAGTTGAATCATTTACCTTTCCCAATGAAACACCCTGTATATCTTTCGAACCATTTCCATCACGTGATATGCTGTGATTCGTGTTTTTTGAAGATTATTTTTGCAATGAAATTGTGGAGGCTGAGTTTGGTCAGGGAGTTTAATTCTGGTCCACTAATAGCATGGCGTCAGCCCACTGTGATCATTTATATAGTGATTTAAACTTTCAAGAATGTTTTTCCTTCCTTTCGAGCCCTGGAGGAGGGTCTCGTTAATAATAATAAGTTTTTCTATGAGCGAATGCGCATGCGTCCATAATGTATCACTTGACCAATCTGACAATGATTTGGGAATGGTTCGAAAACTTAAGGTTCTCGTGTTTCTGTTTGTTGTAACTTTGCATGTTAGGTTAATTTCGTGCTTTTTTCATTTAATTGGGATCAATTGTTGGTGACGTTCCTAACCATCATCATTCTGCTGATATTTCTTCTGTCGAGGCTGCCAAAGTCGAGGCAAATTTAAAGAAGCGTGCTAGGAAATGTGACGATCTGCCTAGTGTTTTGGTTGCCAAGTCAGTGAAGAATGTTTCTGATTCTACTGCAGCTAAGATGCCTAATGAACCCGCCTTGAAGAGAGCCGTACAACGTGCGCGCCAAAAAGATAATCCGGCATTGTTAATTGTTAATGTTATTTCGAATATAATATTGTTATTATTTATCGCTGTATATATTATTATGTATTGTATAGTGTCGCGGATATAATGTCGCGGATATAATGTCGCGGATATAATGTCGCGGATATAGTGTCGCGGATATATTGGCATGCGGATATAATGTCGCGGATTCAATGTCGCGGATATTATGTCCGCGGATAATGTGTCGTAGAACCGTCCGATGGACTCATAATTTCTTCGAATGTATTTTTTTCGTTAAATTTTCAGGCAACAAACTCCTCATTGAAATGTCACGTTTTTTTCGACAAAAAAAAGCTCTCGTGAAATTCCAAGTGACAAAACGGAATCTCACATCTGAAACCATGACAATCAGAATTATTGTGAACAGATCTTTGATGTCGATTTTCTAGGAATTGAGTTATCAAAACAGTATTCATTCTCCAGCAGTCATTTGAGGAGGAAGAGATAAAATGAAAAATTTTTCGATCATAAAATTTTGACTTTCTCACCTGCATCCCCATACTCCGTCAGATGAAACAGCAGGAGGAAAAGCGTGAATATGGTGGAGTGGATATGTGTTATCTCCCTCATATCCGCTGAACAGTTCATGCCACATTTTGTACAGTTCTGCGGTGCAGCTTTCCTCGAAATTTCCTTGGAATCGGTGCTCGGGAAATGCGTTGAACCTCAAGAAAATCCTCTGCGATGTTTCTAGCGCCTGCAAAGAAGAGAGAATATGGAGAAAAAGAACGAAAAATTGAACATTGAATCTTCAAGTTGTTATACGAATGAGAAAATAGTATACCCGGAGAGAATCAACTAGATGTTTTGCCTCATATCTACGGCAAAATATGATGACCCACTGACCCACTGAATTGAAGTAAAAACAGGAATGACTACAGCAATACTCTGAAATTGGTCCACCCAGGGCGCAGCACATCAATTTTATGTGACGGTATATTTATTTGCGATGGAGATGTGAAACAAGAAATTGATTCAAAGGATTATCAGACCCTAGGAAGTGAACTAGGAACACTAGATATCCCAAACTATAAAATGACACTTCGAAAGTAAATAATACACTAGCTGTCCGAACCAGCTCCACACGATTGGTGTACCCATTCAAAAAAAATAAGACATTTGTTGCAGTAGTTCTCAGCATGCGCGTTTCTACAGTACATATTTGTTTGTTATTCTTCTGAACTTTTTATGCTTATCTATTGCCACTTAAATATACTTACACCTATTTCCATCCTCTCAGTATCTTTTGTATTTTTTTTTTGTTCTTTTACGTATTGAAACTGTCAACCCAATCGGTCAAGCCGTTTAGTAGTTGACGTACCGACAGGAACGCCACCTACCACGTCCAATTTCATTTTCAAATCATCTAGGAAACCATTATGTTGATCAGGGATAATACCGGCACGAGAGCCTAAAGTTTTCGAACCATTCCCAAACCTCATTGTCAGATTGGTCACAGAAGATCACGTGATACATTATGGACGCATGCGCATTCGCTCGTAGAAAAACTAAGAATTATCAACGAAACTCTCTTGGTCTGGAGAGAAAGGAAAAACATCCTTGAGAGCCTAAATCACTTAACAAATGATCACAGTGGACTGACGCCATGCTATCAGAGGACCAGAATAAAACTGTTGGTCAAACTCAGCCTCCACGATTTCATCGCAAGAAATAATCATCAGAAAACACGAATCTCAATATATCACGTGATGGGGATGGTTCGAAAGATTGAGGCACTTCTCTAATGGCGGAAGGTTTTTATCCAAATCAGTTCAGTAGTTCTGAAACCTATTCAATATACACACATCTTTCATCCTTATAATATTGAGCATAGATTAAGTATGGATTAGTATAGATGAGAAGGTGCTTATCGGGTCCAAAGTTGAATGAATAATAAATAATATTCAATTTTCTAATTGGAGATTTAGAAGAAACTCAAGGTGATATTGAATCTGTTGATACATTTTCCACACATTCGTCTGCATAGAATCTCTAATTTCTGAAGTTGATATTCACTTTTCGAATTGAAGATTCAAAGCAAAAACTTACGGTAATATTGAATGTGTTGATTCGGTTTCTACATAACTTTACATCATCCATATATAGGTAGGCAACAAGAATTTTGAACAATTGGAAGATTCTTCGATGATTTTCTATCCTCGTTTCTATAAAAATATAGTTATCATTTCAATATGTGAATTGAGGACAAATCGAGATTTGCCACAAAACATCACTGCGTCTACTAATTTCATTATGAGAGAGCCTGAAAGAAAAATTCAATCGATTGTCAGTGAGACTTTGTTCCGAAAAATGTCGAACAACTCCTCATCAAAGACGTTTCCCTATAAAGAACGCCAGAATTTGGAATTATTTGCCAAAGGAAGTAATCCCAACAATCTTCAATCTCCAAAAGTTTACCATCCTCCCCTCCCTATCCTCCCTATGTATGCACGATTTTCTTCGAACATTATAGGAATTCCCTTTTTTGCAATCCATGAGATATAAAACAATACCAAGAACATATGGACTTCCCACTTGGCACTGGAATGTACGGGAAGGAATCAGCGTCAGTTCTTCACTTTAATGAAACGGTTCTGGTCCCTGTCTGTTCGATTTTATCGATTAAAATTGATTCACCATCATTGTGTGGAAAGTTTTTCATTTGTTGATATGTGTGCTGTGTAAGCTTTGTCACTGATTCCATATGCTACCTCAGGAGAAGCACTGGTAACCCAGATAGCACGATGTCATTCATAGAACGTGCATAGGATATTCTTCGAGAATATTTGAATATTCTCAGAAAATGCCCACAATATCATACGAATATTCTAGGGATGTTTATGAACATTCGGAATGAACTGTTTCAAATATTCTCAGATTATTCCTAGTATATTGAAGGAGAAGGAAAAAAATTGAAAAAAACTTGCTCCGGTAGAAATGCGAAACTATCTTGTGATTGAATTTTTACGAACCTAAAACCTTAACTTCTTCGCCACGAACCTCATTGATAAATGGAATGAATAGCGAGATGACAACACTGAACTAGTGGGATAATCAGCATTAAGGCTAGACAATAATAAGTTGTGTCAGGGTGAAAATTATAAATATTGATGCAAGAATAGGAACATCAATATCATTCATTTTGAAACGACTCTGAATATTCGCAATCCAAATAGAATATTCGTAAGACATTCAAAAAGAATATTCTGAGAATATGTCGACTTGAATGTCCATAGAATATTCGCTGCAGGATGAGAATATTCTATGATCATTCTGAGAACATTTCATAAGAATATTCTGAAATAAGTATATTTGAACGTTGTCAGAATATACATAGAATATCCTGTGCTGTCTGTAAATTGGGGCGCAACAGTGAATGGTGGTGAACTTTGACATCCGAGGCTTTTAATCTATAACTCGTTTGTTAATTGAGATTGCTCTGCTCTGACAAGGCATGGAACAATGAGTAATGATATTTATCTCACATCAGATCTCAATACCATTCATTTTTCATATAACATGAATTCGGAGAGCGAATATCACATATTCCCCCGATCAATTGTAAGAAAAAAAATCGATAGCAGTAGGAAACATAATCCACTGTAGATTTTCGTGTCTAATTGAAGTATTTCGGATCGTAAAATATTTATGACATAATATGCAAATTGTGATTGAAATTGGCACATATAACAATCGGAAATTACCTGGCACATTCCGTTCATGAATGCCAAAGTTATACAAACTGCGGTAACCATTTCACATTATCAAACCTGCCTGCTACGAAACCACATTGCAATTATTGTCCCTTTGATGGACATAGTTTATACCTCTGAAATTCGTTGAAATTGGTGTTAATCATCAGATTTGATGAGAGTGTACATTAAATTATTAATTATCCTCCCAATAACAATCTCTCATGTTACCAAACCCTTGATTGGCTAAACATAATAGACACTGTTGCCAATGCGCTATTATAATTATATATAGGTGAAGGAACAAAACATAGTATAGGAATACTATTAAGTGATCGTTTAAGAGTTCTGTGACTGACTCTCAGTTACATTTTCTGATGCAATTTTCCCTACAGCAGACAACAATTTGTTGAACAATTGAATGTCTATGTTTTTTAATTCAAAATGTACACAGTAAAAAATTTACGCCATGTGAATTTCATACCACTTTGCATTCTTGATATCTGGCACTGTAAAACTGACATTGATCATGTTGGTTTAATTACGAATTCTAATTTCAATTATTATCTGGTTCATTCAATACATAACTTATTGTCTACAATAATCATCTGAAATTCTCAAATCACTATTCAGTGTTTTCTGTTGACTTGAACTATGAATAAACTCTGACTACGTCACAAATCAATCAATGCACTTTGAACTCACTAGCTCAGGACCTCGAAATGATGTGCATCGAAAATAACACCGCTTGGTGTCTGATTCGATATACGACGGTTCCATATACATATTATCAACTGTGTAGAGCAATATTATCAATTCCTCTTCGAATAGCATCCACGTATTTCGAGCCATAAGGCCTAGATTTACATTTAAACATATGAAATCATCGTCTGACTCTCCGGAATATTTTTTGGAATTTGCTCTCCTCCCCTTTGTATATGTGCCCCAAAAAGTAATTGCGTTCGAAAATTGCATTATCAGAGAGCCTAAAAGAAAAGTTTCATTCATAGTCAGTGACACCTTGTTTTCACAGATTTTTCAATCAACTTCTGTTCGGAATCATTGTCCCAAACTCAGTTGATGTTTCACATATTTTTCTTCCTGTGAATCTTGTTTCCAACATAATCACTTGATCAGTAGTTTTATCGGAACTTGCGGAATTTTCACGAACAAAGACTACAAGAATGAATCAGTTGAGTGCTCTAATAAGCATGAACTGAAGTTCAACCCAAAGAAGACCCAAGCTAAGAGGTGAAATCTGATTTGAAAATTGAATATGCTACGATTAGAGTAGAACCCTGTGATGTAATGAAAAGTCTAGAAATTCATATTTATTGATGGTAATCTGAGATTCAAGGCACAGGTCAAATCAATTGTTACTCTTCATTGAAGAATCTTCTATATAACAAAGATATATAAAATATATATAAAACAAATATGTCATACTAATTATGCTGATTTGGTATATGGTTCATGCTTGGACTGCTTGGAGAAATAGTCGGTAGTGAATACTAAACGTTCAGAAAAATTGGCGCCAGTCTCAACATTAATCAAGTAATACCACAACAAAATTGTATTATACTATACTGTGAGTATCATACTATTTTGTAGTGGTAATATTTGATATAGTATAGTATTATACAATTTTGTAGTGGTATTTTTAGATTAATGTAGTGACTGGCTTCAAAGAATTCAAAATTCCTGTGAAAGATTAATTCACTCACTCAGCACCAGAGACCACATTCCCCATGAACTTAGCGAATTGGGCTGGTTCAATATGTTCATCAGGCGTAAATTGCATATTGCCTACTTGGTTCGCAAAATATTGAGAGATAAAAATCCTATTTACATTCATCATGGATAAACATTCGCTTCGGAAATTCATAATCGTTTCACTGAAAATACAGCTTTATATTAGAGATGCTTCTCCTATAATGTCAAAATATACACCTCTCTTCCACACGAGTTGGAGAATAAATAAATATTTCACTTCAACAAGTTCAACAAGTCATCT